CTAGAAGGGCATACTACCAGGGTTTGGTCGGGATAGTTAAGTCATGTAGGATACATCCCATGCTCATAAAGGCAGGATTAGGACATTTAAATCGAGTTATCCCTAAGGTTGGTTCCGAAGCTTTTACACAAGGGACCTTTCCTAATGGTGTATTCCATATTGTATCCTTCAAAAAAGACATTTTATGTACATGATGCATGTCAAATAGATTGTATGCATTACATTCACATAGTTTCATGAATTCACATTTAACATTCTCCTTATATCCCATTACCCTTCATTCATATCACATGTTCATAAATCGATATCAATTCATATCACATTAACATCATAATAGAGGATTACAACACAAAATTCAATAGAAGCACAATAGGAGATTCGCAGACAGGTCGACACCTAGCGACACATGCCCCATGCCCAATGCAAGTCCTCAAGAGAGGATCACATTCGTGATCAAGCCCACGCCCAATGAGAACACCATTGATTGCTCTCTAGAGTGTTCATGCTCGACGAGAGTCAGCTCACGCTTGATGAGAGTTAGCTCATGCCAGATGGAAGCGTCATAGGGAACCCTTGGAGAGGTCATCCCACGCTCGACGTGAGAGACCCCAAGAGCAAATCTTACTCTCGGTCTCGACGACACCCAACACGACCCAAGTATCTCCCGACAACGTATCAAAAACAACATGCATTAGAAAACATTGAATTGTGACTCATACATCAATTCATCAAAATATACCATTCAATCAGTAAAAGTGTTTTATAGCAAGTAATTAACATCCAATATCATCCAATTCACATACACAACTATTATCCAAAAATGTGAAATTAATCATCTAGTCAAATAATTCATGCAATTAATCATGAGTAACAAGAATAAGGAGAAAAATAGAAACATTAGGGGAAACCCCTTAGATATAGGCACACAACACACATAGGATTAGGACCAATCTCACTATCTGGCATACAAACTCAAACCCAAAGCGAGGTTTCTCACTCCCCCCTTACCTTGTTGAGTAGAAAAAGATGGGTGCATGACTCTAAGATGGTCTCCTTCTCCTTCAAGTTCTCCGAGCTCTAAAATGTGAGTGCATACGTGAAAAATTAAACATAAAAAATGATAAACTCTTCTTAAAACTTAATCTCTTCTTAACCCTTTAGTTAAAACATATTAACTACAAATATTCAAAAGATCCCTTCCCTTACTAATAAAATATTATACTATTCTTTAATAAAATATCATATAATATATTTTAAAATATATTAAATAATTAAAATAAATATTAAACAATCCTTGTAACATCCTAAATTTTGTAACTATTTATCTATAAGTTTCTGCAAATTATTATATATATTAAATATTACGTAAGTTACTGTGAATGAAATTTATGTAGCATTATTTAACCAGATTTTCTAAATTCAATAACATGTATTTAATTATCTAATTTGACTGTTTCTCGGACAGCGTTGAGAGCATGTTGTAAAATATGATAAACTCAATTTAAGAAAATTTAAGTAATCTGTAACTTAAATAATAATTTATTGAGTGTAGATTAAGAATAAATACAGTTAAGAGAGAAAATCTCTAAATTAAAATTTATAGAAATTCTCTAAGGATTTAACTAGAAAAAATTATTCTGCTAAAACCTTAAAATAAAAAATTATGGAAAAATGTTCAAAAGGATATAATAATTTTATCATCGATATAGTATGCTTAGAATTATTAATAAAAATGTATAGTTAGGTGAAATTAAAATACAAGTCTCAACCAATTAAATTGACACATAAGCAAATCCTAATTTATTTAATTAATATTAATTAACATAATTAAGAGATGATCAAGAGACAAAAGTTTGTATTTTTAATGGTCAATATTCTAATGATGATATTAGTATCTCAAAATTATAATTAATTTGTAAGATATTTTAATAATTCTACAATGTTCTAGAAAGTTCTATAAAACTCTCCAAAGTAGATATCTAATTACCAAATGATTAAATGGGTTGGAAGCTTAACTATTAAGATATTCAAACAACTCAAGAAAGTTCTATAAAATTCTACATAATAGAAATCTAGAATGGATTAGATGCTTAACCATTAAGATATTTAAATAATTCTACAAAATTCTAGGATGTTCTATAAATTTCTATAAAAAAAAGGGACACATAATCACCATGTGATTAAAATGAATTGAAAACTTAATCATTAAGATAACTAAATAACTCTACAAAATTTTAGAAAGTGGACATCTCATCACCATACTATTAAATAAATTGGAAACTTAATCATTAAGATACTTAAATAATTCAAGGAAATTCTAGAAAGTCTTATAAATATCTACAAAATGGACACCTAATCACTATGTTATTAAAATATCTTAGGAAATATCAAGAAATATCTACAAATCTAGAAGATTGGAGAATGGAGGTGGAGACTAGTATAAATAGGAGAAACCACACCAAAAAGCTCACCAACAATCCTTAACAACTAGACATAAACCAATGCCAAAGAAACACCCAAAAATACTCCATCTTTTCCACAACCAAGGAGTAAAACAAGGAGTAAACAACTAAAATTTCAAGAAGAAGGGAAGAAAGGAAGAAAAAGAAGTAGGACAAGAAGAAATCAAGGAAATTAGGAAAAAACTAGCAAGCTTGGAGAAATAGGTATGGGTTAGATGTTTAATTTTATTCATGTCTATATAGTTGTAGAATAAGTATTGATCTTTAATTTACTTATAAGTTTTGATGCATGGAACCTTAGGTTAGTTGATATGGTTTTTGATTTTACTTTTTGATAAATTTGATGTTTTAAGGTTGAATCTTGAACTGGTTGATTGTTTATGATTGAATGTTTCTATTGAAATTGTTTGAATTGTATTTGACGAGTTTGATTGAGAATAATTTTTGAAGTGATAGATTAATAGTGATGCATATTGCATATTGCATAATGTCATTTTTTAGTCAAAAGATTTTTGGGGGGAAAAGAAAAGAATTTCAAAAAATAAATATTTGATAAATGAATTTTGTACCAAGGATATTTGATAGAAAAAGAACGAGTTTCGTAATTTTGAAAAGATACTTTTTACGTGAATTCTTTTCTTTATGTTTACTATCCGAGACATTGGTGGCAAGAGATTGATTGTGATAGTGGGTACTGTCAAGGACAGTTGACAGTTCGAGATGGATAAAGAAAAAAAGTGAGAGAGAGCTTGATATAGTTGTGAAAGTCTGGCTGAGGTATTTGTTTTATGCTACCAATGTCAGAAGATAGTAAATGAGGTTTGAGTAGAATGGGTAAGATGAGACCTCTGGTCTGGGGGATAGACCTTTGGTCTAGGGAGTGTTTGGGCATGGGCAATCCCATAGATTGCTAGTCTTTATTGATTCTGTGTCGTGGTAGCCTGTCGGGTGCACTAACGCTCTGACTACTATCTACTTGTTCGCGTTTAGTGGGGCATTTCCGAATCACTGGACAGAGTGATGTTAAGCTCTAGCTTCACTAAACACTCAAAAGGGAAAATCTCCATGGAGTATTGAGTCAAAATGATTTTTAAAAGTATATTTTCAGTCAAAATTTGCATCTCATAAGCATATTGCATTATTTGGACTATTATTAATGAAAAATCTTATCAATTTATTGTGTGTATTGATAATTGTATGAACTTATTATGCACTTGTCTGATTTATTTGTGTGAGATGTGAATGAAATTAAATGTATAACCCCATAAATATTTTTAAACCCAGATATTGAAGATCTCATAATGCAGAAAAATTGGATGTGCAGTTAAAAGGTCAATTGCAAAAATCCAGAGCATAGGATGGGGGGTTTTATTTTACTAAGTTGTTATAAAATGGTTTGTAATATCTAGTGACTTTTATTGAATAAAACTTTAATTGAATAAATTTAATTCATTTCGTTAAGTATCTTTTCTACATATTATTCATAATAATATAAATAATTAGTTATAATTAGTATATGTAATCTGGAAAGGGGATTACAATCTTCATTAATAAAAATAAAAAAATACTAAAAATATTTACATTATCTTTTATGAAAAATGAGATATTACATTTGACTCCCACCCTAGAGGCTTTCCAATAAAAGAAGGACTTGCTATCGTAACCTTTTCTCCTGAATTATGTGAAAAAGTGAGAAACCTTTTTTTTTATTAAGGTTTTTATTCGATCATATGTGGATATTCTTTAATTACTTATGAGTCAATAGTAATTACTATTTCGGTTGCTAAAGTTAATAATATTTAATTTTTTAATTAAAAATTAGTTTTTAGTTTCGATCACTAAATTTAATAATATTTTATTTTTATTTAAATGTTTTTAATTAAATTTTAGTTTTTAGTCCCTATTTCAATTGCTAGATTAAAAATATTTAATTTATTAATGGAACATTTCTTTTTTAATTATACATTTTTAATCACTACTTCAACCTCTAAATTTAATAATATTTAATTTATTGATTACTTTTTTATTTATTAACCTTACTTATTTGTTTAACTTCTTTAAATGAAAAAAGTTAATATCTAAAGGTAGAGAATACACTTACAAAAATATTAAATCAATTATTAACTTATACAATGTTAATATACTCATAACATGAACTTGTTCAATAAGGTATGAAAATAAAGAAACATAACAAAATTCCCTAAAATATGAAAAATTTTAAAGTTAATTTCGTTCTCACAAGTGTCTTCGGCCACATAGGTAGACTAAGGACATTTCTAAACTTCTTAACAACTTAGTTACCTACTAGAAAATAAATCATGAATTAAATATGAGTTAAGGAGGAAAAAAAATATGTGTACAACATCTTTTGACATTATATGTGAATTCCATGATTTATGCAAAAAAGAGGTGTGGTTTAATCACCTATACACTATAGTGTAAAGTTTTTTTACATTGGCAACCAATCAGATCTGTTAATAGTGCCATGTCATTTACTCATTTAATTAAATTAAAATAAAAAAAAGATATTGTTCTCACCTGAGATTGGATCGGTGACGATCTCTCCAATGAGATTGGTGAGCCTCCACTGGTTCGCAGGTTGTTCGCTTCAAGATGGGGGTGGTACCTGCAAAAGAGACTTCGATGTTAAAGTTAGTCATTGATAGTGTAGATGTCTCGTATATATAGCAGGCGTACTTTGGTGATATTAGGGTTTTTACTGTCTACCGACTCATTGGCATTTTTAGGGTTTTACCTTGTGGTTGCAGCGCGGTGACAAGATTGTATTTTTATCTGTTTGATGACGTGGCCTTCTTGGGCCAATGTGGTGTTCCGATGTTCATGTTTCATGGCCGAGCTGAGGAACTCGACAATTACGAGCTTACTGCTTGGTCAGGTTGGTAAACCTTTGACCGCGTAAGCAGCTTGGTGAGGGACAAGTTAGCAACTCGGCTGGCCAGTACACTTGCCCCCCAAGCACCGAGTGATGTAAGAGCAAAGGGGCTTCTGAGTAGCTCCCAAGTTCACTGCTTAGTCAGATTGGTAGGCCTTTGACCGAGTAGGCAGCTTGGTGAAGGACAAGTTGGCAACTCGGCTGGCTAGTGCACTTGCCCCCCAAGCATCGAGTGATGTAAGAGCGAAGGGGCTTCTAAGCCTCCAGAGGGTGTACGGACCCGTCGTGTCGCTTGGGTTGTGTGGTGTCTTTTCAGATGTCACCTTTTGAGTGTGGCTTTCGAGGAGGTACGCGTTTCGCTGTTTGGGAAACGACGACCCCATTTAATGGTAGGCTGCACCCCTTTATGATCAGTTACGCCTCTCTACTATGAATGCTATTTAATATGGTGGGAGGGCCCACATTTTACTTTACTCTCTCATCCATTCATCTACCATTACATTTCTCCATTTTCATCTTGTTGGAGCATTTTTTTACTCCCCAGCGTTCTCCGTTTCTACCATTTCCAACGTATTTGCAAGGTCGTCCTCCTTCTCTTCCAACATCAAGGTACCATCGCACCATATCTCTTTGCTTATTTGCTTAAGAGTGTGTATTATGGCAGGTAGTCATACCAAGGGGAACGGGAAGGTTGGTGACGAGGATAAGGGTAACAAGAGGAAGCGAGGTGGGAATAATAGGAAAGATTCCCATCCTCTCATATCCGCCCCTGGGTACGAGTGGGTGAGGGGGGATGTTGGTAAGTTTGAGAGTAGATTCTCGTCCCCGTCGTCAATGTATTCGCTTCTTAAGGAGTTGTCAATCTATGTCTCTTCGGATGAAGAGCTCATCAGGGTCGTCCACTACCAACCTGGGGAGCGCGTGTTCTTGTCGGGTTCCTCTCCCTTCTTCTATATGTACCGATGTTTCTTCAAGGATCTCGGTGTTTCCATACCTTTCACTCCACTTGAGTGTTCCTTCCTCAGTCATATTAATGCAGCCCCAAGCCAACTTCACCCAAACAGCTGGGGTTTTCTCTGAGCTTTCCAAGTTCTATGCTCGATTCTAGGGATAGAGGTTTCGCTGGCTAAGTTCATGCATTTTCACCAATTGAAGTTGGGGGACCCGCCTCTAGGTTGGTTATCCTTGAGTGGTAGTAAGGAAGGAGGATTGTTCTCACTGTTCTTCCCCTCTTATAAAAATTTTAAGGAGGATTATTTTAAGATTTGCGTTGTTAATACCAATGTGGCATCTGAGCATCTTTTCCACTTGAATGGGGAGCCAAAGTTTCCCCTTTTTTGGCAACAAAATCCGATTAGGTTTGCTAGTTCGGCTGGTTTCGTCTTGTCCGCCGCGAATGAGGAGGACATAGAGAAGTTGCAATCTCTTCCTCGACCTTTGGAAAGTAGAAGTGTTCTATCCCTTCCTAGTTCAAAGAATAAAGAGAAAAGCCTGGAAAGTGAGTATGGCCGACGTGCTTCCCTTCACTGTGGTTGGCTTGGTATGTCTCTAACAATGTTTTTTCGTTTTGTTTGCAGGTCTGATGGGTAAAAGCAAGTGGCGCGAGTTGAAGGCCAAGTTCAACACCGTAGCACAGGAGATTCTTGATGTCGAGGAGGAGCAGAGTAGCCTCTGACCTCCCCATAAGCGGAATAAGAAGTCTTTTGAGATTGAGGAGGACATGATGGCCGAGGTTGTCCCTGAGGTCGTTGTCGAGGTCGCTACCGAGGGGACGTCGGGGGGAACCATCGACCTCACCTTGAGTCCTCTGCCGAGTCTGTCCACGGAGGTGCCCGTAGGGGACAACCAACAGGAGGCACCCTTCTCAACACCACCTGCCCAAGGGGTATTATGTCTTTGTCTTGCAATCTTTGTTTTTTCTTGCTTTGTCAGTTTTGCGTTGTTGATTTTACTTTGCATGTCAGGTACCGACTTCAACTGATTTGGTTACCGTTGCCGAGGTTGGCCATGGGGGTCCTTCATCTGTTATTCCTCCAAGAAGCTCGACAACTCGGACTCGCTGCATCCATCAGAGGTTTGACACAAGTCAAGCTTTGGTCAGATTGGACCATGTTAGTATGTCTCCTGACGTCCCCTCCCTTTGGAATCCCAACCTTATGGAAGAGAGCTTTTACCGGGAGGATCCAGCCTTCATTGCAGACAAGGCCATGATTGAGAAGGTTGGTCCGATTGAGGGTCTGGACTCTACTGAAGTCTTCCTGGAGAGATCCATTGCTAATCATTGGAAAAAGAAGTGGCAAAGGAATTTGGCTGAGCTTGAGAGAGCCAAGAAAGAGAGGGCCGAGATGGACGAGGTGAGGAAGGATTTGGAGAAAACCAAGAAATACTTTTTTGCCACTCTCAAGGCGAATGAGGCTTATGCTGTCAAGGTCGGAGATCTACTTGCTAAGGTGAAGGCCATTGAGTTGGAGGTTGAGGACTCACGGGCTCAAGTTCGTCTTCGTGATGAGAAAATTGAGTGTTGGAGGAGAAGTTGAAGGAGGTCAAGGAGAGGAACTCAGCAATAACGAGTTTACTGCTTGGTCAGGTTGGTAAACCTTTGACCGGGTAGGCAGCTTTGTGAGGGACAAGTTGGCAACTCGGCTGGCCAGTACACTTGCCCCCCAAGCACTGAGTGATGTAAGAGCGAAGGGACTTCTGAGTAGCTCTCAAGTTCACTGCTTAGTCAGATTGGTAGGCCTTTGACCGAGTAGGCAGCTTGGTGAGGGATAAGTTGGCAACTCGGCTGGCCAGTGCATATCTGATTGGTTATCAGTGTAAAAAAATTTTACACTGACAGTATATAGATGATTAACTCTTAAAAATTTGTTATTTTAACTAAAAACTAAATAGCATAAAGAAATAAATAAATACAAACTTGGCTAGTACGTAGCACCAGCAAAACAACAACCATAGGAACTCCAACAATACAAATTAAGGTAGAAAGACCAACATAAGTGTACCTATATTAACAAACTATATAGATAAACATTAATTATTATTAAAAGCAGGAACCAGAAAACAATTACATGTAAGAAGGAGACATGCAATGCAAAGGAGTTTTTGCACCATTGTCTTGTGAAATTTTAGCCATAAGAACTTAGAAGCCTTCATTCGATATTAATTAATACCAATAGTGGTTACCTGAGGAAGGAAAACAACCAACAAAAATAAACAAAAGAGAAAAAATATATATACATCTATAATCTATAACAATAATATTTTTTGTGTACATATTCTTTTAGATTATTTTATCCATTTATAATCACTTTTTGATCTAATCAGATATTTCACTTTCTATACTTCTCTCACTTCATAAGTAATCACCCCTTGTATTTTTAATAATCATTCACTATTACATAATTTTTATTATTTATTATTCTTAAAAATAATTCACGAAGACATGCAATCTCTTTTGTATGCCAGTAATCAATACAATATGTGAATCCAAACTTCAGAACAATAAATATATGGAGTGAACAGTGTTTTTTTTAAAAAAAAAAACTCCATAAAATCTTGCTCTCCCCGGTCATACTTGATTCCTCAATTGCAAAAAGAGTGACCAGTGATAAAAAAAAAAATAATAATAATAAATAAATAAAAACTCCATCTAAGAGACAGAATTAACCAGTCAAGAACTAAATACAAAAAATGCAAAATTAACAACACAAAAATCATTACTGGTTACCGATATTAATGGGCATAACACTACCAACAACAACGTATATGGAGATCTCCACTCTTCTACCATTTCAAATAACCTTCTCGAGCACAATTTGAAAAATAAATTAAAAGAAATAGGATCAAATGATAATAATGTTCAAAAAAAAAAGTAACATTAATAAAAAAAAAATAGTATATAGAGATTAAATAAGGTGTAACTTTTACCGGTCATTATATCACTTAATAATATTTAATTAAATAATTATTTTTTAAATTTTATTATTAAATTAAAAATTTCTTAATTATATATCATACACAAAATTTCATATTAATATGAAATGGTTCGAAACCTCTTTCGTATAAATCAAAATTGATGTAATATATATTTTAAAATATATTAAAATATGAACAATTTGATCACTTTTAAATTGTTATTTAATTTTAGCAAAATTTGACATGCACATACAAAGTTATACAAAGTTATAATGCAACTGTTGGATCGAAAAAATGAGACACTAATGTTCCCACTTGATGTGACACTTGGGTGATCCAAGTCTCACATGTAGTGGGTATCTCAGTAGAGGGTGCACTTGGAGGTGAGCCAGTGTCTGAAGTTTAAAGGAAAACACGTAGAAGGGGGTTGAATGTGTGTGAACGAAGGATTTTTAAAACGTTTTCGCAAAGGTGCTTCTTTCCATCGGAAAATAATGTTTCAAGTACTTTAAAGAATGTGCGAGATTGGTAAGAAGCTTTGCGTCTGGGGATCTATCGTCTACTTGAAATTAGTTTCTTAAGTTAAACAGATATAATTTTGTCTAAATATTGTTTAGAAAATAGGTAGTAGTAGATGAAATTTTTCAGTGTAGTAAATCAATATAAGTAAAACTGCGTTTCTAAAACAAATATCAATGCATAGAGTTTTTATACTGGTTCACTCGTTCTGAGCTATGTCCAGTCTCCTTCAAAGGTAGGGTTCACTAATCACAACGGATTACAAGTATTCTTAACCACTTCTGATTCGTCAACTTCACTCGCTGACGCTAGTATTCTTAAGCCACTTCTGGTTGCCCAAGTATTCTCAACCACTCCTGGTTCGTCAACTACACTTGCTGATGCTAGTATTCTTAAACCACTTCTGGTTCTCCAAGTATTCTTGTAATAGCCTCTTCGGGCTTTACAAACGATGGATGTTTTGAGTGTATATGTGACTCTCACAGAGAGGATGAAATGGTTTCTACACTCACTAAGATAAACTATCTTAGTTTTACACGGATATTTTAATCTGAACAAGAAGAGATGTGAGATTGTTTTTGACGCTTGCTTTTTATTATTGCTTGTTGCTTCTCTTCTCTTTTCTTTTCTTCTCAGGTCTTGATATTTATAGCCTTGTGATAAATATGCCCGTTATTTGAATTTGAATGTGTCCGTTGAGGCAGAGCTTTCTGTTGGTGCAGATGATTGCTCGTTCATGGCTACACAGATCTTTTTCATTTAATGCCTTTGATTTTACATTAAATGCTTTGCTTACTAAATTTGTATTACGTGAAGTCCTTTGCATAATTTGTTCCCTTTTATTTCTGACTTCAATCATGACCTAGGTATATTTGTCCTTTTTCCGTCATTGTAGCTGCGGAGGCGTTGTCTTTCTCTGAAAAGTAGGTATACTTGTCCTAACACGCGC